AAAAGAAAAGAAAAGTTAAATCTCTCACAGCTTTGTAAGTTTCAAAAGAAAAGAAAACCTTAAGCTTTTTATCTCAGTGTTTCTCAGTAGAGGCACTGATATCATTCTGAATGGAATTACTTTTCAGATCCAAAATGTCTGCCCCATGCATTGTAGGCCTCAGAACTCAATGTAACAACCATCCCACTCTCCACTTGAAATTCGGTGCTTTAATTTCAAATATAGTTAACAATTCAATAAATAAATAACAATTCAACTTACCAGATCTCCACTCTCAGGAACTGCAAAATTCAGAAAAGAAATTACAATGAATAAGAAGCTAAACAACGCTTATTATAAAATAACCACTAATACTCACGCTAAAACATTATTTACCTTCAGGAGGGGCAAAAAAATTAAAGAAAGAGTCATTGGAAACTGTTTTAGTCACAGTACGAACTGTCCCACGTCCCTTGTGTTTCTGCTTCTTCTTAATGGTTTTCAAAGTGACATTCTTTCCTTTTTTCCAATCTATCTGGCACCTTGCAAAACAAAGAAGAAAAATCTATTACAATTGACAATCTTTCAACTGCTGAACTTCTAGAAGTAAATGTTCTATTTAGATTTCAAATTTTAGAAGGGTGAATTGCTTCAAATGTTTTCTATAGCAGTATAAAGGGAAAAATTTTATTTCTAATCAAATATTTAAAATAAACATATTTACAACTAGCATAAACACATAGTATAATTTAAAGAAGCATTCCTTTGCAGAAATATATGTGAGACAGTCATGGGCCCAAGGAGAATTACAGGAAAATTGATAAGCACTTTTCAGAAAACATATTACCAAAATGTTCAGAGACAGACTATGTACATATATGAAACTGAAAATAACCGAGTATACAAATCAAGTATAACAAAAACAGAAAAAAAACATTTTGTTAAGGTAGTAAAATTAAACTCACCCTGTACAACCCATAATTTCTGGTCCATCAAAAGAAAAGGGATCAGAATCATCTGGTTCTGACCTCATCCTATATGTCTTTGTCAGCACTTCATTTGTAAAATATTCATTGGGTTCAAAGTGAAATTCTAAGACAAAACTCTGAGGAGAGGAAGCATAAAAATCAGTTAAATACCTACCTCATACATTTCAATACTTTAGTAAATACAGCTTAATCTGTGTTTTTTAATAAACATGTATAATATTCTAAATGGTAATTTTTTTTCTACTCTGAAATACAATCTTTTTCTTTTTGAGAAAGAGTCTTGCATTGTTGCCCAGGCCGGAGTGCAGTGGCACAATTTCAGCTCACTGCAACCTGTGCCTTCTAGATTCAAGTAATTCTTGTGCCCCATCCTCCCAATTATCTGGGATTACAGGTGTGTGCCACCACACCCAGTTAATTTTTGTATTTTTAGTACAGACAGGGTTTCACCAGGTTGGACAGGCTGGTCTTGAACTCCTGACCTCAAGTGATCCACCTGCCTTGGCCTCCCAAAGTGCTGGGATTACAGGCGTGAGCCACCGCGCCCAGCCCTGAAATATTTAAGAATGGAACAGACTCTCAGATAAGCCCCAAATTATGCTAAAATCAAAAAAATTATGTTAAAATCAAAATGAGGTACAAATTGAACTGAATAAAGCTTAGTTTCAATTTACAACTACTAAATAATTAACATGTTTACACAACAGGCTAGGCACACCTGAATAAAGTGACCATGTTGTCTCCCTTACTCCCCAACTACCGGAGGAATCAGGCTTTTAAATAGCATACTAAACGTGAACTTGACACAGAAAAAGCCCAACCTTAAGCATCTACAGCCTATATTCTTAGTAGTTTTGCCCATAGTTGACATTAACACTGGTGGTTTGGTGGACAGGTTGTTCGCTGATCTTTCCTTATTAAGGGTTGGGTGTCCTCTAACATCAGTTTCATATAATTCCCAAGTTCATTAATGCAGAAAAAGTACTCATTCACGTTCCCTTGGCATTATTTTTATCCACTTATCCAAGAACAAGGATTATCTGTGTTTCAAACACAGTTTATGTTCAGAAGGAGGAAAAGGAAAAAATACTGCCTCACAATTAGCAGCATCCAAATCCAAATATTTATTCACTACAACCAAGAGCACCAACTTTACCCTTGAATGTTATCTTTTTAAAAGTTTCTATTTATCTACCTGTAAGTTTCTATCTACCTGTAAGCATGTTACAAAATTATAAATATTTCAAAGTTCTCTTACCATAGGCTGGCCAGCATCTGAGAACTTCACTTTAATATCTTTCAAGTGTTTCAGAATAGGTTCATCATGTTCCTTCAAATTAAAAAATAATAATAAAAATGAGTAACATGGCATTTGAGGATTGTCTTCTATTACTACACAGACACTAGCTGACTGAGACATAATATATTTTAAAGTAGTTTTGTACAGCAATTACGAACCTTAAGACTTACTCTCCAGGTTATGGCTTATACACTAAAGCTAATTTATACTGTAGTTCTACTGCCACTGGTAGAGAAAAAGTGTCCAAGTAGACAACTAAATCATTATATAGGCTGAAAAATTCAAAATCAAGTCTAAATAAGGCATATCTGCTTTAAAAATGTTTCCTGATTATAACTGCTGCCTTTTCCAGCTGCTTGTCTCCTTCCTCCTGGTCATTCCTTTTCCACTTTGCTAAAGCAGAATTGTAATTAAGTAGTAATTATGTGGAAATCATTTCTTTTTCTCCATGTAACTTCCAACGACGACAAGACAGGGCAACATGTACTACTACAATGTAGACGGTAGGGGTAGGGGCTCACTCAAGAAATGCTTGAAGCAAACTTTCCCAAAGGTGACAACTATTATGGTTTGCCAGACAATGTAACCACTGTGAATGAGTTTAACATCTTTATAGCATTCTTTTAAAATGCAAATTTCTCCTGGAAGAGTTAAGGGAACTGTATAATTGCAGCTGTAAGAATAACTTTCCCATCATACTTCCATACTAAGTATGTAAAGACAGAAGGCACAGGGTAATGAGAAAACACCAGTCGATAATGAGCAATTATCAATGGGACCATTTCATCATCTCATTTTTTAAAATAAACTGTAATTTATTTGATGACATTAATCAAAGCTATAATTTCCCTTCTACAGATATTAACTGTTTAAAAAGTAAGCAATCATTCTAGAAAGATCAACACTGAAGAGAACAGTCATCACAGCCATTTAAACTTCAAAAGTTTACCCTTCAAAGTAAACTGGCACGTTTATGAATAAAATTACCTGAACCATATCACTGAGCAAGTCAACATTCTTAAAAACAGTTAACCAAAATTCAGGAATTCCTTTGGGGTCTTCTTTTTCTTCATCCTTTTTCTCATCTTCGATCTTGGCCTTTTCTTTCAACTCCTCCTTGATAAGTGACAGCAAACATTATGTAATACATAGATTAGACCTCTTGATTAAGTAACAAAGGTATAAAAACCAAAACGCACAGTCACCAGATATTACCTTCAAAGTTCTAGTCTATCTGTGTAAACACTGCCGTTGTCCGTAACAAACCTTAATTAATCCCATCAAAATTACTACCACACCCCTCCAAAGAGAGCCACTAAAGTGACCAAGATCTGTAGGAAAAACCATTTTAGTTTAAAAAAAAAAAAAAAAATTTTTTTTAACTAATTAAAAATGAAGACTTAAGCATAGTAAACAAGAAAAGCAACAGAAATACTAACTTGGTCCAATGCCTCACCCCATGGTGTTATTAATCAAAACATTATATTCTCTTTACTAAACAACATAAAACAGCAATGCTAGAGAGTTGGATCACTTAACACAGCACTGAATGTGTGTCACAGCTCTGCCATTATTCATTGTGGGCAGGTCACTTAGAAGCCTCCATGTCCTTCACTTGAAAATGGCAACAATCCTCAGCCTATCATGAAGTTAAAAAAAAAAGTATATAATGAATCTACAAACTAAAAACTGTTAGCCAGGCATGGTGGCTCACACCTGTAATCCCAGCACTCTGGGAGGCTGAGGCGTGTGGATCACTTAACATTAGGAGTTGGAGACCAGTCTGGCCAACATGGCCAAACCCCACCTCTACTAAAAGTACAAAAAATTAGTCAGGCATGGTGGCGAATGCCTGTCATCCAGTTACTCGGAGGAGGAGGCAGGAGAATTGCTTGAACCCAGGAGGTGGAGGTTACAATGAGCCGAGACTGCACTCCAGCCTGGGCACCAGCGTGAGACTCAAAAAAACTATAAAAATAGGCTGGGCACAGTGGCTCAATGGTTCAAGCCCATAATCCCAACAGTTTGGGAGGCTAAGGTGCAAAGTTGCTTGAAGCTAGGAGTCCAAAACCAGCCTGGGCGAGAAGACTCTGCCTCCACAAAAAAATGTAGAGATTAAGCTGGGCATGGTAGCTTCAGATAGTCCTAGCAACTTGGGAGGCTGAGGTGGGAGAATAGCTTGGGCCCAGAAGTGAGCTGCAGTGAGCCAAGATCATGCCAGTGCACTCCAGCCTGGGCAACACAGCAAGTCCCTGTCTCTTAAACAAAAAAAACTATAAAATGTAAGGAAATAATGACTTTCCGAGTACAGATGGTGGTGCCAGCTTGAATAATAGCTGATCTGTATTCTCATTCTTACAAAAAGGAAAAATATTCCTAGGTATAGAAATACAACTGATGCTCTAGGGCAGCCCTGACTGGGGAGACAGTTGCACTTGTCGGTTCAGCTGGCAATAGCAGCGGGAGTGGAGTGGGCGGGGCCTGTGAGACCACCTGGGTTTGTGAAATGGCTGCTGACATTTCTGAATCCAGCAGGGCTGACTGCAAAGGAGACCCAAGGAACAGTGCCAAGTTAGATGCCGATTACCCACTTTGAGTATTTTATTGTGGAGTTTGTTCATTACCAACACAGTACTATGAATATATGCCTGATGTTGCTAAATGTAGACAATGATTAGAGAAGAATTTTCCAAATGAATTTGCAAAACTTACTGTAGAAAATTCACCCAAACAAGAAGCTGGAATTAGTCAGGGTCAAGGAACAGCAGGGGAAGAAGAGGAGAAGAGAAAACAGAAGAGAGGTGGAAAGGGTCAAATAAAACAAAAAACAAAGACCATACCACAAAAGATTACTATAGCCAAAATTCCCAGAGCAAAGAAATATGTGACAAGTGTGTGTGGCCTTGTAACTTTTGAAATTGATCTTAAAACACACAAAGATTTATTGCTCAAAAATTCTCCTGTGGTGCCTCAGTAACAGGGGAGGATGAAATTATCATTCAAGGAGACTTTACAGATGACACAACTGATGTCATTCAGGAAAAATGGCCAGAAGTACATGATGACAGCATCGAAGATCTTGGAGAAGTGAATTTGAAAATTCGTCTGTAGTTAATGGCCTGAACTTAGAGTTGATATGGCCAAAGGGAGAGAGGCCTTTATAAACATATATATATATTTTCTACAGTAAATCTATAGACTGCCCTCCCTCATCCTTGGCATTTTCACTGTTCTGTACAAGGCTGCTTGTTTTTATTGCCAAAGTCAAATAAACAGGGGAGACTATCATGTTCATGCATGAATACAATTTAGTCAAATAAAAAATTTTGGTCATTTGGTACTGACTTTTTTTTTTTTTTTGAGACAGAGTCTCGCACTGTTGCTTGGGCCGTAGTGCAGTGGCGTGATCTTGGCTCACTGCAACCTCTGCCTCCCGGGTTCAAGTGATTCTCCTGCCTCAGCCTCCTGAGTAGGTGGGATTACAGGCGCCTGCCTCCACGCCCAGCTAATAATTTGTATTTTTAGTAGAGACAGGGTTTCACCGTGTTCGCCAGGCTGGTCTCAAACTCCTGACCTCATGATTGGCCCCCTCGGCCTCCCAAAGTGCTGGGATTACAGGCATGAGCCACTGTGCCTAGCCTTTCTCTTTCTCTTTTTATTTTTTGAAAAAACCCAGCAGACTTTTTGTGGGGAGCAGTTTTGTTGATTATTTTATTGACCTAAAGCTGAGTGATTTTTTAAAAGAAATTGAATTTGGCTCCCTCACCAATAATATGTCTCCTTTCTTCTTTGATGTGATAGTTTTGAGATGGGTGAGAATCTAACAGATTTGTGGCAGAATCTGCTTCGTTGTTATGAAGTCCACCCTATGGGCACAATAACATACTGTTGGTAGGAGGTGTTCGAGCTATTCTGGAGATTATTTGGTAAAGTATACTAAAAGCCCTAAAACCATGTATGTGCACTGTTTGAACCAATAAGCTACTTCTTTGACATCAGAAGATATTAGAGGAAACAATAAGCCTTGCAATAAAACTTATGGATGAAAGTATTCTTCACAATATGATTTATAATAAAAAATTGCAAATGTTATAAATGAACAATTGGAAAATGGTTAAGGAACTGATGGTGCACACTGTGTGGTATGTTTATGTTTAAAGATGTGGTTTGCATATATGTTTAAAGAATCATATTTTCTAAGATTATTTGGAAACATGTTTGGTAATGCCAAGTGGGGGCACACCAGATACATCTTAGACATTTATCATCATCATTCTGAGTGGAAGGCCATTCAGAGATGCTAGAGGTTCTTATTCTGGCCATAAATCACATGAGTAAAATTCTGCTAACCAATTAAAAATAATGTACACCCATGCTCAATATATAGTCCTGGAAATAGCAATTGAAATATGTCTTCTCACAAGAGAAAATGACAGTTTTAATGATGCATTAGATGAATTTAAACTTTAAGTCAGGTGCTGCAAATTGGATAGAAGACTTGTAATTTTAATGCTGTGGACACTTTTAAGAAACTTAGAATCCATGAAACCACTGCTTATTGCCATGCAAATTACAATCTTTTTTTTTTTTTTTGAGACGGAGTCTTGCTCTGTCACCCAGGCTGGACTGCAGTGGCACAATCTCGGCTCACTGCAAGCTCCGCCTCCCGGGTTCACCCCATTCTCCCGGCTCAGCCTCCCAAGTAGCTGGGACTACAGGGGCCCGCCACCGCACCCGGCTAATTTTTTTTTTGTATTTTTAGTAGAGACGGGGTTTCACCCTGGTCTCGATCTCCTGACTTTGTGATCCGCCCGCCTCGGCCTCCCAAAGTGCTGGGATTACAGGCGTGAGCCACCACGCCCGGCCCGCAAATGACAATCTTGAATGACTGTTTTTTTAATATAAAGTATTAGAAAAATGTAAGATGTAAAATTTAAAAATGAAAAAAATACAACTAGTTATATAATATTGTACTCCATCATTAAATGCTAACATTTCTGACAAGTCCTAAGATTTTACCATCTATAAAACATACTAAAATAAAGTTGGTACTAACCGAAATCTCATCTTCTTCATCTGGTTTCCATTCACATTCTTCTTCCGTAGGTTCATAAATTGCATTAATAATCTCAAATCGCTAAAATGATTTAAAAAAAAAAAAAAAAAAGCTGTATAAAATCACTGGCATCCAAGGTAAAACCAGTGGTTTCTCACTAAGAAGTCTTATAAATTTAACAAATGCATACCACAACTTTAACTATTATTGATAGTTCCTCCAAGTGCCTCTAATAACAATTTCAATGAGAGTTCTAAAGACTAACCTCTTTTCCAAGTCTGCTTATATTTCCAGACTTCATCTTCTAGAATGTTAAATTAAACAAAGTAGGAGAAAGCATTACCTTATCAAACAGAGGCTGATAGAGAACAGCATACTTCCTTTCAAGATCGTGAACTTCCTCATAGAATTTGGCTTCTATCTGTGCACATTTAACTTGCAGGTTTTTGAGAGCATTCACTCGTCTTTTAACTACCCTAGGCAGGCTGAAAGGTTAGAAATCAGTTACATAGCATCACACTAAAACGGAAGTCACACTTCTTTTGTCATACTGAAACTGAAGCATTGGAGTTAGTGAATGATAGGTTTTTTATCTGAAGCAAAAGGTAGAGTCAAAGTAAATAAAAATCAAATAGATATAAATATACTGACCCACTGGCTATATTTCAAAAGTAGAAATGTAACTAGGTAAATTGATAAAATGTACATCATATTGTCAACCCTAAATCTTTACCCAAGTTAAGTGCTGGACTTGTCATTGCTGAAGTCATGGACTAATCATTTTAATTCCGAGAATAATGATTACTTAGATTTTTCTTTTACATATATCTCACCTATACTAGTTATTAGGAAAAGGAGGGGAGCATATGTATATCAGGAAAAAGGACAAGATTCCACACACCATTATTTTATTTTAGTCTCCATACTTAATTAGGAATTAGTAATCACATTATTAAATAAGAGTGTAACATACTATAAAGAGCAGACATGTATTTTTAAAATAACAGCTTTAGGCCAGGTGCTATGGCTCACAACTGTAGTCCCAGCACCTTGGGAAACCAAGGTGGGTGGACTGTTTGAGCCCAAAAGTTCAAGACCAGCCTGGGCAACACGGCAAAACCCTGTCTCTATAAAAAATACAAAAATTAGCTGGGTGTGGTGGTGCATGCCTGTGGTCCCAGCTACTTGGAAGGCTAAGATGAGAGGATCACCTGAGCCTGGGATGTCGAGGCCGAATTGAACAAGATTGCACCACCACTGCACTCCAGCCTGGCTGACAGAATAAGACCCTGTCTCAAAAATAAATAACAGCTTTGATGAGATAAAATACATACACCATACAATGCACTGTGAAGCACTATTTTAATTTTTATTTTAGGTCAACCTAAAATATATGTGTATACCCTATATATATGTATACCCTAAAATATGGGTATATGTGAAGGTTTGCTGTTTATCACCCAGGTATTAAGCCCAGTACCCAACACTTAATTTTCTGCTCCTCTCCCTCCTCCCACACTCCACCCTCAAGTAACCCCAGTGTCTGTTGTTTCCTTCTTTGTGTTCATGAGTTCTCATCATTTAGCTCCTACTTATAAGTAAGAATGTGTGGTATTTGGTTCTCTGTTCATGTGCTAGTTTGCTAAGGATAATAGCCTCTAGCTCCATCCATGTTCTCACAAAAGACATGATCTCGTTCTTTGTATGGCTGCATAGTATTATGTGATGTATACATTTTCTGTATCAGATCTGTCATTGATGAGCATTTAGGTTGATTCCATGTCTGCTACTGTGAATGGGGGCACTGATTTTTAAAAGGTTATACACACTAGGTTTTGAGTCTCCTAAAGAATGATTAAACCTCTCTAATAATAAATGTTCACACTTAAAATGTACCTAACTTCAGGGAATCTATGCAACAGATACAAAATCCAGGTTAAAATTTCCTGCCACAAACTTTTGTGAATCAAATAATTCACTTAGTCACTAGTTTATTTAATATTATTAGAAATAAAAAACAAACCTTGAAGATATCAACTTTCTATTTCTGCTAATTTTAAGTAAAAAGCACTACTCTGCCAAGGTGGTGAACCAGCATGGGCTTCTGGCTTTTCTTGCTCCCCCAAAAAGCTAATCCCAGAAACTTTAGAACAAGAATGAAGCAACTACTGAGGCACACACACACCATAAGCAATTTCAGGTAAGACTGGAGGTTGTGTTTAACTGGTACAGGGTGACCAACAACTTCGGGAGAGAATGGCCACAGTAGGTAGCCATGCGGACAGGCTGGAAGATCGCAATTCCGCAAGAAAACTTTTTAAGTTCTGCTCCTGCCTTGCAACAATCATTGTCTGTCATCTTCACCCTTCACAAGAGCCGAATGCCAGGGTTGATGAAAGCTGCACTGGTTCAAAGCCCTCAAACATGTATTTGCTCCAATCTAGGAATAATGAATTGACAACCAAAGACGACTAGTCCCCCACCCCTACAAAGCACACCATAAAAATTGCCTGGACTGGCAGCAAACTTTCAGTCTAAGGCAACTAGTGCTGCACTACTTAGGCTCACCCTGTGCCCTTCTCCTTGTCAGAAACCTTCATTTCTCCCCAAATATTCATTATTAGGGTAACTGGTATTGCCTAATGTGCCAGAGCTTGAAGAATAACTAGACACTTCAAGGGTACAATTTCTATGAAAGAGTGAAATGATTATCATCTGAAGCAGCATTATTAGAGAATTTAAACAAGAATGTAAATATACTTAGAGATGAGGAAGATTAACAACATGCAACAAGATCAAGAAATCTAAAACAGAGAGGGAATGTTAAGTATGAAAAATACAATAACTAAAATAGGCAACAAATAAGAGAAACAGGATAGATTAAACTGAAGATAAAGTCCATGATGTTGAAAAGTTCTACCAGAAGGCAGCATGAAAGACAGATGGAAAATAGAAAAGCTCTGAGATATGGATGACAGAAGTAGCAACAGCTGACAAACAGAGAAGGGGTACAAAATCTTAACATATGAGAATGATACATTTCTCAGAATTAAAGCAATATAAAAATCCTTACTCTGCTTCCTAGACATGTTAATGAGATTTATGAATATCAAAGACAAGAAAATTCTAAAGGTATCCAATGAAAAAGAATAACCTACAAAGAAAAAGGAATCAGACTAACAACAGGCATTAAAAGAAACGCTGAAATAAAGAAAAAATAAATTGTAGTTTTTAAGAACTCTGAATTTACTACTTCATAGCCAAACTATTATTCAGATATAAAAGCAAGACAAAAATTGTATCAGGTATACCAGGCTTCAGGTTTGCCACAGATACTCACTATATATTACTAAAAGCAACTAAGCAACTTTGGAGGAAATTAAAAAAAAATCCAGCAGATTCTATGTAAGGTATGGGTGCAGTCAAATATCTTGGTAAATTTCTTGCCTTGAAGGGAAAAATAGAGGGCCAGAGAAAGCACGTTTATAAACAATATAAATATTGGTAAATTTAAGATATCAATGGGGTAAATAAACTTAGATACTAGGTTATAAGCCACTACCATAGTAACAAAAATCAATGCATTAACTTCGGAACAAGCAGAAGACGACTTGATTTATCCAATGGGAAGCCGAAAAGAAGAAAGACCCAAAGTAAAATAAATTAAAAAAGAAAAAGATGGCAGCAATAAATCCAAAAACAATATAACTTTTAAGAAATGCAAAGTCAGCCTTACTAATAATAAAGAAGCAAACACTGAGGCCGAATGTGGTGGCTCATGCCTGTAATCCCAGCACTCTGGGAAGCCCAGGTGGCTGAATCGCTTTAACTCAGAAGTTTGAGACCAGCTTGGCAACATGGTGAAACCCCATCTCTACAAAAATAAAAAAATTAGCCAGGCATGGTGGTGCGTGCCTATAGTCCCAGCTACTTGGGAGGCTGAGGCAGGAGAATCGCTTGAGCCCAAGGCTAAGGCTGCAGTGAGCCGTCATTGTGCTACGGCACTCCAGCCTGGAGACAAAGCGAGACACTATATCCAAAAAATAAAAGAAGCAAACATTGATCTAGAGGAAGAAACAAAGATGAAAAGATGAAAAAAGACATACTAGGTTAAAAGTCTTAAAAAAAAAAAAAAAAAAAAGAGGCTGTGGGTGATGGCTTATGCCTGTATTTCCAGGACTTTGGAACACCAAACTGAATCCAAGAGTTCGAGACCAGTCTGGGCAACACAGGGAGACCCCATCTCTACAAAAATAATAGCCAGGCACGATGGTATGTACTACTTGTGAGGTTGGGGTGGGAGGATCACAGTGAGCCATGAGTGTGCCACTGCACTCCAGTGTGGATCACTGAGTGAGGCCTTGTCATAAAAGCTGGGGGTCATTATCGTAATATCAGACAAATAAAAATTATGGCCCCCCCCAAAAAATTATAAAATACAAAGGAAGACACATATCACTAAAATGAAACAAGAGAAGAAATGTTCATCACAAATATTATACACCTAACATGGCTTCAAAATATTTCAATCTACAAATGACAGAAAAAACTGTCAGGTCAAACAGACAACCAATAAGCAGAAATAAAGAGAAGCTGTGAACAATGCAATAAGCTTGAGCTATTAATTTCAGCATACAGATCTTCACACTCAACATTTACAAAAGTAAGAGTATTAAGGCCATAAAAAACACAAATTAAAAAATAAAATAAAATGAATTAAGCATTCAATTTAAAAAACTGGAAAGAGAGAGTACCATAAAGCAAACCAAAAAAAGAAATAACATTAATGCCAGAAATCAGACAGCCACAATAACGAAAGACAGTATGGAAAAAAGGAAAATCAAAAGCAAAATTAATATTCTAAAAAATTAATAAGATCAAGACAACTAGCAGAATTAAGATGCAAAATACAGAATATGAAAACCAGATTTTTAAAACTATTGTCAACTATGTACTAATCAATTTTAAACCTAAATGTGTACATGTTTAAAATATGAAACTCCAAAACTGATGAGAGAACTTGAATAAATTAGTATGTCAAACCAAAAAAAAAAAAAAAAAAAAAAATTCTCCAAAACTCCCCAGGACCTCTACTTCCCAAACTCCAAAGGTACAAACTAAATTTTTAGAAGAGTTCTACCCTAAGAACAGCTAATTCCTATCTTATACAAGTTGTTTCAGGAAATAAGAAAAATAAAAAAAAAGTAGCCATTCATTAGAGTAGGCAATTGAAATTTGACTCCAAAAACCAGTTAAGTATTACCACTTCCTGAAAGTTTCTTTATGCACATACCTACATGCATGCACACAACACAAGCTCATTTCACTAACAAGTAAGAACTGTAAAATTCAATTACTCAACAATGTATCAATAACACATCATGATTCAATTTACTACAGGAATGCAAGGCTAGTTTGATATCCAAAATAAGTATTTCCAAAACATCTATTTACTATTTACTTAATATATTGAAGGAAAAAGTTCAATAGAGCATCTTAATTGATAGAAAAAAACAAAGGTCAGATTAAAAAACAGTAAATAGGCCTGAATTTAATAGAGATTTTATATTCATTCCCAATATGAACAGAAATAAGACAAAGATGTCCTTTTTTAATACTAATGTTTAACACAGTAGTGAAAGTCCTGGTAATGTTGTAAAGAAAAATACGTGGTATAATGTAATGTGGAAGAACAGAGCTAAAACTGCCATTATTTGCAGATAAAATCTTGTGACTAAGGGGGCAAAACAGAACACATTACTACAATAAATTTAGCAAAGTTACCAGATACAAGGGCAACTTAAAAAAAACAACAGCAATCCTCTGTAAATCAAGAACAGCCAAACAGAAAATACAATTAAAAAAATGCTATTCACAACAGCCACACAAAATACACAGAAATTAACTTAACCAACAGACTCTATGAAGATAACTTTGAAACTAAAGACACAGAATGTGACCTGAATAATTAGAAGTATGTGGATGAGACAATATTAAAAGATATAATTCTGTAAATCTATAAATGCAATACAATTCCTATCAGAGTTTTAATATTTTTTTTTGCTTGTTGACAACCCTGATAAACATAACTGTCAAAAATGTGGATGATTGTGTTTGGGGGAAAGTGTGAAAGGATGCAACCTGCCCTGCCAAATATTAAGACAACTATAAAGTCATAGTAATTAAGTGTTACAATGACAAGAGACAAAGACCAATAAAACAGAAGAGTGCTGCTCAAAGACAAACACAGGTGTTTACAACTTGATATGCAATGAAGGTAGGTGGTACACCTAAATGGGGGAAGAATGGATTGATTAGTGAATAGTGAAAAAAAAAACTAGCTCATGTCACTGGAGGAAGACCCAAAATAAACAAATAAATAAACCTTGCTCATTAAAAAATGAGGCAGAAAAAAAAGGAACTGGAAGTTTACATACACCAAATAGAAAGGTAGACTCTAGAGGGATTTAAGACCTAAATGTAAAAGGTAAAACTATTCAATAGGAAACGTAGCAGAATCCAGGAGGGACTTCTTAAACAGTTTCAAAAGCACAAGCCCTAGGGCAAAATATTTTACTAAAATAAAACTTAACTGTTTACCAGAGGACTCCATGGCTAAATTAGTAGAAATGACACATTATTTAGAATGTCTAAAAACTGATAAGGGAATAATATTTGGAATACAAAGACTTTTGCAAAGCATTAAAAAAAAAAATTGCAATCCCAACAGGAAAATGGAGAAAGGTACCAATGGGCAACCAAAAAGGTTCAAGCATTATGAAGAAAAGCTAAAAACTCATTTGAAATCATAAAACACAAATAAGACAAAATGAGTCTGTACCTCTTAGACTGATTTAAAAATATAAACAAAAACACTACAAAGCTGGATGGTGCCAATTGTTGGCAGACATGAAGATGAATCCATCTTCTTGCACTGGGTACAGTATTTCTGGAAATCATGTTAGAAGCATAATGCTTAAAGGCTTGCATACTCTATAAAGTGGCACTCCCACTGCTGAGTACACATCTCAAAGAAATTCTCACACAGTTCCTTTACAGGCTATGTAATTGAATTTGTGTTGATAAAGGAGTCCATTGTAGGAAAAGCAGATAATAAAACACAGCGAACACACACCACACAGAACTAGGCAACATTCAGAAGCTACTACCTATAATTAACATATAGATAGTAACCTGAATGGATCTTAAAATCACAAAAAAGTTTTTTTAACGTGTAAGCTGCATAAGATATTCATGCTATTAGTAATGATTTATGTCACCAGTGAAATAAGAAATCTGTATTTCTTCTAATTCTGTGCATTTCTAACATACCTCTAAACAAATCTCTGAAATGTTTAAGATCAGTATACTTCCTATAAACTTGAACCACAATAAACTTTAAAAGACCAATGTAAACAGGTGGTACTAAGCACAATTTTAAACTTCCAATAATCCTATACTGGATACTAACAGACAACAGGTTTCCACTACTGCATACCTAAATCCTAGATGGTCTTAAAAACAGATACGCCTGCAACGTTGATTGATTATAGAAAGATAAATAAGGACCATGGAAAAGGAGAACTTGTACCTTTCAATGTATCCTGTTGGTGTTTCTACCAGACCATCAAGTCTTTCTTGAAGGGCTGCAAGAATCTGAGGATTTTGCATCATCTGAACAGTTAGCTGACGTGCTTTAAAAAAAAAAAAGGGCATCGAAAGAAGGATTTTATGAAAATGTATTATGCTTTTTTAATAGGACAATCCAATCTCATGAAGTTTTCCTAACTGGCCCATAAATAGATGGTGTATCTAATGAGTAGAGACGGGCAGGGCAAGCTAAAGAGAATACACTCTAGGAAAACCCAATGTTCAGGAATAATTCAGATTCCTAATCTATCCCTAGTCAAGGCATTTCTCAAGGTCATTGCCACAACTACTATGAACAATATCCTTCCTCTTCCTGGTATCTTGTGTTTCACCCACCTTGCATTTTAGGAAGCTTAAAGCTTCATTCAGATGCCTATCTATGACTCTTGACAGTCCTTTGAATGCAGACAACACATATCAGAAAAACTGCAAATATATTGACAGTTTTAAGCCCAGGAGAAAGGTGAAGTGAGTGATCTGAACGTTTATGTTTGATGCTTGTGTAATGTATTTCTATGTGTATGAATAAAGTTAATAGTTGAGACAGTCAACAGTTGCAACTGAAGCCAAACAAAATGTGGTTATAAATGGCTTTTTAAAAACATAATCCAAATATACACTAGATTTTTACAAAACAAATTAGGCTACTAATCTTCTCTTCATCATCAATACAGTTATTACACAAAGTGCCATAAACTTAATTTTCCCAATTATGTTTTTGGAGGTCAATTTACTTCTGATAATAATTCAATTATTGGATGATGTACAGCCAGGATAACCAATATAGATTTTTAAATATCAATATTGGTCAATGAGGATACAGTTCTGTATCTGTTAACAAAATGTTACAAAATGAAAGCTGAAGCTATTAATACAAGTTCTGAAGTCTTTTCACAATTAACTTCCATCTGGCTTAAAAATGAAAAGCTAAGTCATCAGGTACCTTAATATTCTTGGCCCAGATCTACAGGACACACCCTAAGCAGTACAAGCCCCCACCACCACTCCTTTTAAAAAGTATCTGCTAAAATAAATTGTGAATATTACCTACATTTAATAAATGGCTTTTCTGCTTGAAGGAGTGGATTTTTAAGAAGACACACACTACATGTTCTCTACAAAATTAAACACTAAACATACTGTTATAAGCACCACATCACAACCTGTAACATTTTTAAATTCAGACAGAACTCATGGGCAGCTGTTTGACACAGGTACACCAAGTCGCTCCAACAGTGCAGGATGCAAACAATGACTTTTGAGTCACTGTATCTATACCTAACCTCTCCTTTCTCTCTCTCGAACAAATACACACACACACACACACACAAAGTTTCTAGAGGTATGGACCAGTAGATAAAATGGGACAATGAGAAGGGTCCAAAAAAACAGACTGGTACTTATAACTACCCTCTAGTAGACATGTGCCAGCAATCATTGGCTCCTGAAGTAATTTAAAGTAATACCTTTGATTTTTGTTTCTTCACCAGTTTCCTCTTCTTCTACTTCTTCAACATCATCCAAATCTTGATCAAGTTCAGACTGTTCTTTGCTATAATATCATAGTATCACACCAAGGTTCAAATGTACCAATTACCAAAAAAAATTACAGAAAAACTTAAAATTCATTTTCAAAATTAGTATCTCTTTCAAAGACATGAAATAGGAAATTCAAAAGGTAATTCCATTTTCTAACTTCAGATGTAAACAAGTACAAACTGGAAGTGTTTAAACTTTCATTAAAAGCATCTGGTCAAATGTGAAGTTTATACTTTTCAAGCTTTATGAAATTGGTTTTGTAGGTTTTTGGGGAATGTGATGTCAACAAGTATGTGCATTCAACCCAGTATCTACTGATTTTACTTTTTCTTTTTAGTAATAACATCCTCATTTTATGAGAGATGGCAACACACCAACCTAAAAGTCTACATTTCCTAGCCTACCTTCAGCTAGACTATTTTGGCAGCAAGATAGAAAAACAGAAGTGCTGTATTTCTTTGAGGAAGTATCCTTAACAGGAAAGCAGACAGCTGGGAAGCCTTTATCTTAATCCCTTCTCCCCCTCCCACTTAGAATATTAATGTGGTGGCTCGAGCTCCAGCAGCCACACTGGACTAGGAGGCATCCTAGGGAATGAAAGCCACCAGCTAAAGAAAAAGGAGTAAGGAAAAACAGAAGAATCCTGGATCCCTTATGGCTGTGGAGCAACTATACCAGCCTATACTATCTTTGGACTTTCCTTTTCTTTACTTCATAGTGGAGGTTAAGAAAGAATAAAGTGAAGACTTCAGAGTCTAGCTCTTGTTTAGAACAAAGCCAAGATGGCAGCACCATTCAAAGAGAAAGTTAAAAAGCAGTTAGATAGCATCCTTCTCATTTCATCTTAAAAAAAAAAAAAAATCACCAAAAATCAAATTTTTGAAAATGAGATTACATCTAGCATTACAAAGGAAAATAAGGATTCCAAAGTCAATATAAAAGGTCATAGTACAATTCCTGTGTGAATTTTTTTTTTTTAACATTTGGATTAGAAATACAGTTGCTTTTGTGTTTAAACAGCATTTGAAAAATTAATTTTCCATAGGGACAAATGATGACTTAATTTTCATACAACTACAGAAAAAAATCAACAGTACTCTGCCAGCATAATTTAAGTTCCTGTCAACTGAGGGAAAGAATTCAGTCTTCAGAAATGATACATATTATTTCTGAAAGCTTTTTTTTCTTTTTTGAGACAGAGTCTCGCTCCACCCAGGCTGGATGGAGCGCAGTGGCACAATCTCGGCTCACCGCAACCTCTGTCCTCCAAGCTCAAGCAATTCTTGCGCCTCAACTTCCTGAATAGCTGGGACTACAGGAGTGCGCCACTGCACATGGCTAATTTTTGTATTTTTAGTAGAGACACGGTTACACCACGTTGGCTGGGCTGGCCTCAGGTGATCCTCCCACGTCGACCTTCCAAAATCCTGGGATTACAGGCATGAGCTACCACGCCCAGCCTATTTCTGGAAGAACTCTGATTTAGTATAAACTTTAAGTGTTTCATAAGTATACACACTTAAGGGCCACTGGTTACAGATAATTGGAGCAACTCCTCCTCTAGTGTCTTTAATCATTTATTGAACATCTATATGCAAAAGCTTTAAAACAGCTGTCCACAAACTATGTCTATGTGGCCAAACCCAGCCCACCCTACTATTGTAGATAAAATTTTATTGGAACACAGATGTACTACATGTATGTATTATCTGCTTTCACACTACATCAGCAGAGTTGAGTACAGTCATCCCTCAGATTCTATGGTAGACTGGTTCCAGGAAACTTCCCTACCAAAATCCTGGGATGTTCAAGTCCCTTATATAAAATGGCACAGTAACTGCAACTAACCTATGCACATCCTCCTGCATACTTTAAATCACCTCTAGATTACTTGTAATAATACTACATACAATGTAAACATTATGTAAATAGTTGTATTATGCTGGGCCAAAGTGGCTCATGCCTACAATCCCAGCATTCTGGGAGCCAAAGCAAGAGGATCACTGGAGGCCAGGAGTTCAAGACCAGCCTGAACAACACAGTGAGAATTCTCTATTAAAAACAAAACAAACAATAGTTGTTATGTTCTACTGTTTATTTGCATTTATTATTGTGCTATTATATTTTGTTTTTTACCCTAATATTTTCTATCTGCAGTTGGTTGAATTCATAGATGCAAACTGAAACCACAGACACAGAGGGTCAACTGCAGTTAAGAGAATCATGTGGCCCAAAATGCTGAAAATGTTTACCACCAACTCTTTTACAGAGGAAGGTTTACTGACTCTGGTTTTCAAGAACAAGAATCCCTTCTGACTTCCACCCTCCCAGGACTAACAAGCATCCAAAATTAAATAATAAGGAAGAGGGAAATCAAGCTATCACAACCAATTTGCTCTTTTTAAAGTTTAAAATGAGAATTTCAAAGTTAAGATGGCAGATACCACAAACTCATCTGATCTTAATCCCTAAAATCTACACTAAAATTATGATAAAGGGTTTTTTTGTTTTGTTTTGTTAACAGACTAACACTGAAATCAAAGAAACAAGGGCAGCAACATTTTGGAAGCTGGAAACTAGACAGGTGATAATTTCATTGAGAGAACTGAAATCTAAGATTAGCAGTGGGGAAAGCTGAGAAGCAACCCAATCACAGTCTTCAAAAGGATAAGAACTGGTGGTACCAGGTACATTTCTAGAACTAGGGCAAGGGGTGGGGCAGGAGAGAAGGTGGCTAAAACAAGAAAGTAAAAACTGATAAGCAGTTAAATCATTACATCTTCTCTTCTACACTAGCAGACATATTCAGTTTCCTCTCGGAAAGGGTAAAATTCAGAACTTGGACTGGAAGACAACAGACGCAGTTAACAGTATCAAAGATATAGGACTATGTACACATTAGAATGCTAAATGTAGAGCCTCCTCTACATTTAGAGAAACACCAGAGGCCAGATCTTTACCCAGACACTGTTCAATGATTAATCTGACTAGCCCAGAGGGAAAAAAAAAAAAAAAAAAAAAAACCATTCTAACACTGGGGTTTCTAACAAATGCCCACTCTGGTGACCCTACACTGAAATCCCAAATTAACGAGCCTCCCCCTTCAACACTCAAATTTTCCAATCAATTTTCTTTTTTAATCATCTCTGACTTGTCCCTGCACCCCACCCAACCCAATCTTAATGAGCAGCCAACCAAGTATTGATTTATATTTTAGGAAAGCGTCTTAGATTGAGACCAAATGAGGGAAAGAAAATGTAAGAGCAAATGGACTATAAAGATGGAAGAAATATCCAGACAAACGAGATTATCATCAGTGAAACAAGGACAGGATGCTATTTTAAAAAACAAAACAACAACAACAAAAAAAAAAACAGGAAGAATAAAGCAGGTCTTGGAAACTAAAACAACAGAAATCTTAAAACTCAACAAGAGCTGAAAGTCTTCAGTTCTGCCCAGAAAGAAGAGCAAAGAGACAAAGACGGAAAATAGGACAAAAGATCATGAGAAGACCAATCCAACACACAACACCTAATAGTAGCTCCAGAAAGAGAAAAAATAAATGAAGCAATCACAAAGTTAAATCAAGAATATCCCTGAAACTAAAAGCCCCTGAATTGCTGCACTGAAAGGGTCCACCACTGAACATGTAATGTTAAAAGAAAAAAAAAATAATGTGAAAATTTCAGAACTCTGAAGCCATAGTAGCTTCCAGAAAGAAATGTATATAAACTGTAACTGTATCTATTTCTTAATTATCATACACAAATAGTTAATTACAATGACTCTGAACTTCAACACAGCAACACTGGAAGCAAGGTGACAATGGAGCAATGCCTTCAAAATTCTGAAGAAAAATGATTCCCATCTTACTATCCTACACCCAAACTATCCGGCATAAAGGTAGAATGGTCATTTTGTGTCATGACATGTCTTAAAATAATTTACCTCCCTTGTACTATTCCAAGAAGGTACTAACACACCAAGAAAGCAATGGGAGATATGGCAAACAACAAACCTAAGAGGAGAAACAAGGTGAAAACTCAGTAGATAAAATGACAGCTATGTCACCAAGGTTAAGCAATCCAAATTAGAAGTGTGACACAGGAGACGGTCATTTTGAGAACTACTATCACTAAAAATGCTGTTTCCACTCTTCTGGTTTGTTTAATGCTGAAGACAGAATGCATAAGAATGGCCCAAATTCTTATTTGTACTTCTATGTGTTGATCTTGTACTGAAGTTTCCAGCCCTCCCACTATCATTTGCTGATGCCTACAACAGCTATGGAAAATCATTTAGCAACCCCTCACTCCCAAGTGCTCTATTTTAACACGGGCTACTGTAAAATTACACACAACAAATCCTGTGCACCTCATCCCATTCTTCCTGACCCTGTTTCTGTAAAACATCCATCCACATTAGAATTCTGCCACATGCCAAACTGATTAAACCTATGTTTCCCAGGACACATGACCTTGCCCAATACTTCTCCATAAGTCTTTATAAAGCCTCAGAAAACTTGAGGCCAGACTATGACTCAGATAGTCTTTTTTCCTTGTTATCCTATCTTAGAGCCTTCAATTAACAGTGGCAAAGTGGCAATGTTGCTTTACACAGCTAATTTGGTGATCACTATTCAGATTTTCAAAATTAAACACTGGTTGAGAATTTATAGGTAGTAAAGCTATAAAGGAAAGCAAAGAAAGGAATTAGCAAAAGCCTGGATAGCACTTATATGTCTGCAAGGGAAAGGTGCAAATGAGAAGGGGCACACAAGGCTTCTGATAGTAATGTTCTATTTTTAACTTGTCTTAATATTCCTTAAGCTCTACATATAAATACATTTTATACATATTTTGGGTGTTTGGTACATTACAATGCAAGCAGTAAAATCTTTGGGAAATATATACAATAAAAATGAATTCTGCAAGTATTTATAATCCATTATCATGCTCTGCACTTTCTTAAAAACAGTGACAAATGGTTCAGTATATATGATGGTTTTGAATATATGATCATAAATATACTAATGATCATATATTCTATATTTTATCTTGAATACACTGCACTACCCTTCTGTAAAAGTAGGTAGTAAGCATTAGTAACTACATTTTCATAATATATAATTCATGCTACTTGCTGTTAATAACAGAGTACAAAGCGATGCCAAATCTCGGAAAAAGAACCAACTTTCTGCCACTTACTTGTCAATGTCTGCCATGTTGTAAGAACTCCAAATATCTATGGAGAGAAACATCAACGTTAAAAAAGAGTATATGATTTATTTAAAAAAAAAAAAAAGAAAAAGAAACCAAAACCCTTTAAATCAATACCATGCTGAAAACTATCCCAAGAAATGTCTATTTCCTTTAAAATACCATCAGTGTTAAGAAGAAAAACTCACGGAACATGCAAATTCTTCCTTACTAGTACCAAAAGTAATTTTTCAAGGGATATTATTTAAAACAAGAAAAGTTACCACTAAGCTTTTAGAATCTGTTGTATACAGACTATGATAATAGCACCATTGGTTAAAAAAAAAACAACTAACATTTGCTAGACTCATAGGAAAAGAACAGTACAAAGGATCTTCATTCAAATTCTTTCAACAACCAAGAAAGGTCAATTTCTGCTTAAATTTTTAGACTACTTAGCATCTTAAACAAATCCATTTTGTATTTAGCAATATTCATTTTTATGTAATTCATGTTTAAGAAAACCAAAACCTGACAGCTACTGTACTCACTATGCCCCCTAGATCTCTTTTTAAAGAAGATTTAATCCTTGGATCAAATAGCCATTTAGACTATTTCAAAAGCTGTGGGTCCCAATCTTAATGTCAGGTAAGCCTTCCCTATCTCTTCAAATGTACATGTACCTCATGTTAGATAACTGATAACCACCAACCTCCAGCTTCCCCTAGATATGCTGGGGACATTGTCAAGACTTGTGGTTACCAGACCTGAGTAAGTTTACTGTTAAGACTGACCAGAGGGCATCCTAAGTTCCTTCTCACTAAAAGATTAGTATGAACCTGGAGAATACTGCTTTTAGAAAAATCTTAAAAGTAGATGTGCTATATTCAGGCAGCAAACAATGGTAGAATGCCACAGGTAATCTACAAATTACAAAAAAAACTAAACCAAGTTTTGATAGAATCCACATTAAAATCAAGTTTATCTTCTTAGCCAGGCACAGTGGCACGAGCCTGTAGTCCCAGCAGCCCAAGAGGCAAGATCATTTGAGCACAGGAGTTCAAGGCCTGCCTGGGAAACACAGCAAGACCCTATCTCTAAAAAAGTGATAATAAATAAATAGAATCAAGCTATCTGGTAAAAAAAAATCTTAGTACATATTTAATCCACAAAATCCTGCATGTGTTTACTTTCACAGCAACATATTATGCCTATGAACAAAGAGTTGCAAATGGAAAAGATCCTGATTTTAGCAGTTAAGTGCTAATATTTGGGGGAAACAGTATTACTGACCTAGTACTTATCCTTTAGAGTAATTATAAAGAAAATTTTTCTTCCTAATGTATTTAACTTTGTAAATATTTTGTATTTGTTGTAAATAATTCCTAATAGTACTGATGAATTTTTCTAGTGATGCTGGGTAATGATTCAGCATTTACAAAGTGTTTAGCAATTATGAATAGTAATCAAAAATAAGAAAAACATTGAATCTCTGACATCAAAGAAATGCAAGTAGGATTCCAGTTTGTCTATCACATCATCAATAATTTCCTTTTAATACCAAGAAACTTGTGGTGCACATGCATCCTTATTTCTGGCTATTGTTCTTTCTGGAGAGCAATCTGACAATAGGAATATCAAAAGTCTTGAACATGTCCATCTCAGCCAGGCACCGTGGCTCACACCTGCAACCCCAGCACTTTGGGAGACCAAGGTAGAAGGACCGCTTGAGGACAGGAGTTCAAGCCAAGCCTTGGCAACACAATGAGACGCTGTCTCTTAAAAAATAAAAATTAAAACAAAATACGTCCATCTCCAGATTATTCACTTATGAGATCTACCATGAAAAAATTACAACGAATCTAATGCCTTTGCTTTCCATGTTCACCTAGAAGGTTCTTCCACAGCTCTGAACAAGTCTTGCACATCCTTTGGCTCTCAGTTCAAAGTTTCACTCCCCAGAGATGCTTTCTCCAACCTGCAGATTCTGGTTAAGTAAGATTTCTTGGTTGTACACACACTCCTGTAAAGCTTTCTTTCCACCATAAGATGTCTCAGTTTGTAATTATAAATTAGGGTGACCTATGGTCTGTCTCTCCCAACTGACAAGATTCATGATTACAAGAATTAAATCTGATCTTGCCAATCACAGTGTTGTCTTCTTTGGGGTAGCACACAAAGCTTATTATAAACCTAGTACTATAATGGAATGTGCATAAATGGAATGCTTTGCAGTCACAAATGAAACGTATCTGAGTTGATATGAAGGAACACCAAAGCAAGGTAGAGAATGTATGCCAAAATCCCATTTGGATATGGGGGAAAAAAAAATACATATATATATATATATAAATATATAAAATCTCCACTCATATATGCACATGCTTTAATATAAATAAAACCTTTTTAAAAACATACACCAAAAACCCAACCAGAGTAACCTAACGAGAAAGAAGGGACTGGGGGTAATGAGAACTAATTTCCCATTCACTATTACGGTCATGTGTGGATTATATGTTCTGAGAAATGTGTCTTTAAGTGATTTTATTGTTGTTCAAACATCAGAGTATACTTACACAAACCGAGATGGTATAGCCTACTACACACCTAGGCTATGATACAGACTATTGCTCCCAGGCTACAAACCTATACAGCATGTGACTGTACTGAACACAGTAGGCAATTTTAATGTAATGGCTAAGTATTTATGTGGTGCATGACTGCATTTGGTTTTCCAATACACAGATTTATATAATAATTTCCAATACACAAATGTATTCTGAAATTTTCTGGGTTTAATATATAGTGTCTAGTAAACCCAGCAATTGTCAAAAATAGAAACAAAACCCAAAACTTCCAAATTTAATTCTTATAACATTTTAATGTGCTCACAGAAGAATAGCTACACTGTTAACCTCAATGTCCATTTGCAGCATTATATTTATAGTTTAAATTCTTAAAATGAAACTTTATCTTTAGTAAAGAGGATCCAAGACAGAACATTTAAAGAACATTAACAGGAGGCATTTACTCCTCCAGAGAAGGCTGCTCTAACCTGCCCATTCTGGCTACATTGTATTTCTTGGTTGTAAGATAGACCTAATTTTCTACTCAGTTGTAGTCAGATCATTTGGGCTGACATCAACTTCGTAGCAATCCACAAACTAAGGCAAACAACTTCTGGCTCTATTTCATCACCTATATAAAGTAGAAAAATATCTGAGGGAGTAGGACCCAAAAATCTGCAGTCTAAACAAAAAACTCAGCTTCTGAGAGGTGGTTCTCAGGTAGACCACACTGACAAACACAAGTTTAGGTTAATACCTGTGTTAATTTTTTTCTATAGTTGACATTAAATAAAATCAGTGAGAATTTTAGTTGTTAGACATTAAATTGCATTCCAAGATCTCTGTGAAAAACTTTCATTCCTGAAAGCAACAAACTAGATTATGCAGATCAATTCTACCAATGAAAAATACGGCTGGACGCAGTGGCTCATACCTGTAATCCTAGCACTTTGAAAGGCCAAGGCAGGCAAATTGCCTGAGCTTAGGAGTTCAAGACCAGCCTGGGCAACATGGTGAAACCCAGTCTCTACTAAAACACAAAAAATTAGCCAGGCATGATTGCGCACACCTGTAGTCCCAGCTACCTGGGAGGCTGAGGCAGGAGAATTGCTTGAACCCAGGAGGAGGAGGCTTCAGTGAGCCGAGATCACACCACTGCACCCCAGCCTGGGTGAGAGCGAGACCCTGTCTCAAATAAAAAAAAAAAAGAAAGAAAGAAAGAAAGAAAAATAATTAAAAGTGGAGACTTTTTTTAACAAAAACATTTTGTTAAAAATCTTAAAAGCACCGAAATACTAACAGGATAGTAAGGAATTACCAGTCCAAAACTGAAGGCAAAACAGGAAGCAGAAGGAAAGCACTTGCACACTAAGGTCAACTGCCAATTATCAGCAATGTGAACTTTGGTTTTAACCAAAGTTAAAATTCTGGGCCTGTCCAAGATGGGTATCTTTATGGCAACTCTCCCAAATTAAGCAGGAACCCCAAAATGCTATATCCTCAAGAATAAATTCATTCTAATGGACAAACAGCGCCAATTTACCTCATCTGTATTGCCCTCCAAACCCCAACCTATGTACTTAAAATGACCTGTCCCTGGTATATTTAGACACCTGCACATCCAAATATAAATGAAAGCTTCCTTCTAGACCTTAAAAAATTCATACAAGTAATTTTCACAGCCAACAGGAGAAACAAAATAAAACAGAAATCAATCCTACACAAAGACTTAAATACTGTCATACAGACTACAAACAAATATATACCTATAGGCATAAGCCTGGCTGTCTTTGATCTAAGTTTGAAAATACACTGTCTGCAAGGAAGTCATCTATTAAAGGTGATATAACAAATTTGTAAAACTAGAACTTCCAGAAATAAAAATAACTGGAATCAAACTAAATGGGCTGGCTTAAGAGTAAGATAAACAGCTGAAGAATTAAGTGACCTGAAATGAAGCTTAGAAGAAAACTTTCAAAATATGGTAGAGCCACAGAATCTGAAGGACTGAAAATACTGAAAAGAAAAGACAATTTAGGATCCAAAAAAGCCTAATAAAGACTTCATACAAGTTCCAAGAGCAGGAGGATGGAATATTTGAAGACGTTAATATGCAAAAATTTTCCATTTCCTTAAGTGATGAAAGACACTAATCCACAGATTCAGGTAGCCCTACAAATCAAAACCATAAAACATATATATATATATGGGTTCTTTATTTAGCTCAGGATATATCAGTAAAAAGGCAAGATAGCAAAAACAAATTCATCTCAAAAGCACACACAGAAAAGGTAGATTAACTTCAAAGCCACAAAAAGACTTGACAGCTGTCTTCTCTTCAATAAGACACCAAAAGACAACAGAATCCTCTATATGTTGAAAATAACTAAGGCTCTTAGAATACTATCCCCAACCAAAACATCTTTTAAGAACGAAGGTGAGGCCGTGTGCAGTAGCTCACATCTATAGTCTCAGAACT